ATTTTTTATCTTATCTTTATATATAAAAGAAAGGTTTTCCCCGAAACCCTAAAAAGACAGTTTTTTTTTTTAACAAATCCCTTTATTTTCTCCTTTCTTTACTCCTCTATGGTGGTGGTTTCCGGAGATGATTTTATAGCAGCAGAAGTTAGTGATTGTGATAGTTGATTAGTAAGTGCTGCTTATTACTAGTAGTTGGGTGGTGTGCGCTAATTATCTTCAGAATGATGCATACTATTTTGAAAGCAGCGGGGTTAGGGCTGCTTTTAAAAAATATCGCTTAGCGCAGATTATTTTGAGAGAGGCAAAAGCAAAAGTGGATTTGGCAAACACCTAAAAACAGATTATGAGCAAAAAAAACCGCATAATCACTTTCAAAAAGCATTTGCAAACACCACCTATGTATGTTTTTTTTATATAATTATTTTTTATACTTTTCTGCACGATAGAAAAATTTTCCCGTTTCCTCTTTTATCGCATGATGGGAAATTTTTTTATAGCACGTTTTTTTTATATAATTACTTATATTTGTTTTCTCCTTCTCTATTTTGAAATAGTTTTTATCCATTCTTCTCTTCAGATGTGGTAGTTTTCCCTTAAAAAATTTGTCCCATTTAATATCGCAAAAAGGAGGAGGAGAAAAATAAATAAAATCAACGTGTAAACCTCTACAGCAAAAACACGATAGTTCTTAACCTCTACACACACGATATGATAACCATCTTTCCAGAAAATCATGCATACGATCGTGTGTGAGAAACTTACAAATTTGTTTTCATTATGTCTATATATAATTAGAATGAGTTTTGGGTCGACTTAATTATCTGGATTTTATTTTCATTAATTTGTTTGGACAATTTTTTTGTGGTTTATTATTTTGCAGTATGTATTCGAGAGGCATAAAGTGGCGCTTTTCCACATCTATTGCGTCGCTTGCTACATCATGGGCTGGTATCTATTTTGTTTTACTAATTTTAATTTTTATATATAGATCACATAGTTTAAGTATTATACTGAAATGGTGGTTTTCTAGAAGTTTCAATCTTCTTTCTAACATTTTTAATGTGTTTTAAGGGTTGTGTTTGATTCTTTGAACTACATTATCAGAATTGGATGATGAATTTTATGATTAAGAAGATAAAATTTGGTTCGTGTTTTATCAGTAGTATAAATAGATGGTTTTTGAAAATTATTCTAATAAATTTGTCCTTCATATTTCATATATTTTGATTTTTCAGTTCTAATATATTTTCGTTAGAAAAGGTTGTATGCTTCTCTTCTCATTAAAAAAAAAAAAAAAATAATTTGTTATTGTTGGGCCCCCGCCGGGATAGCACGAACTCCACATTGGTATGATATTGTCCAGACTGGGCCGGGCCCAACTGGTTTTGCTCTTGGGTTTCCCCAAAAGGCCTCATACCAATGGAGTTACTATCCCCTCTATATAAACCATAGATCTTTCCCATATTAAACCGATGTGGGACATTGTTTGCACCTCAACAATCCTCCCCTCGAACAAAGTACCACATAGGTCGGACCACAGAGGACCACCGAGCCTCCCTCAATTTGCGCCTGGGGCTCAACACCATCTTTGTTCCGCGCACCAAGCCTCGAACAAAGGACCATATAGGTCGGACCACACAAAGGATCCCCGAGCCTCCCACCTGGAGCTCGTTGAGCCGCCTCCATTTGCGCACCGGGAGCTCACCATTTTTGTTCGCCACCGAGGATTCGGGAATTTCACACAGATTCCGGCAATTTCCACCACATGGTTAGGTCTGGGCCATGGCTCTGATACCACTGTTGGGCCCCCGCCGGGATAGCACGAACTCCACATTGGTATGATATTGTCCAGACTGGGCCGGGCCCAACTGGTTTTGCTCTTGGGTTTCCCCAAAAGGCCTCATACCAATGGAGTTACTATCCCCTCTATATAAACCATAGATCTTTCCCATATTAAACCGATGTGGGACATTGTTTGCACCTCAACAGTTATGGCTTTAAGGTACATCATTTTTGTTGAAATCAAGACTAATAAAACACTATTGCAGCAACTCCACCAAAGAGATGGACCCTATGTTTTTGAGGAACCACAACAAGAAGAGCGGTTAGGCTGCCAACAAGGAAGAATAGATTTCAACTTACCTATCATGGGTTAAAAATGGTCACGGAATCACCAATTTTTTTTTAGGTAGATGGTTGGGAAATATATTTTCGCCTCTCCTGTCTCTCTGAAAAATCCTACAGTATTGCGAGTTATTCTCAAATTTATTTTATTTGGTCTGCCATTCGAATTATATTGCTCTGCATAACCCGAGTTTTGTTCTTTTACAGAGGGTGTGGCGAATTCTTAGGCGCATTTTTTTTTGGGTATATATTTATGGTAAGTTTTTCATATTTACGAGTTTAGATGATTGAGGAAAAAATGTTTGTTGTTTTGTAAATTCTCAGTTTGTTCATTCAGATATTGCTTTTTAAAAATAGTTACCTTTACGATTTTCGCAGTTTTTTCCTTTCACAAACATGAAGCAACTCTAGAGCATTTTTTTTTTGGAAAAGAATTACAATATTTTTGTTTAAAGGATTACTATGGAGTTTTATTGTGTTATCTCTTGGAAATCTATTCACTAATACCTGAAAATGATGTTGCTCGATAATTTTAAATATTGTCCTTATTAACTTCTTATTACTTGCTAGATATTATAGCATATCTACATCACTTATCTCTCGGGTGGTTTTATTTTCCATGATTATTTTATTATTGAGTTGTGAATATTCTTACTAATATTTGTTTTCTAACGTAAGTTTCCTCGATGTGGTTTCATACAGTCATTTATTTTTGGTTCTATTTATCTTACATAGTTTTATTTTGGGTTAAGTGCATACGACTCATAAACTATGTTTTGTTACTATGAAAGATTGTGTAAAAGTTTAGAC